TCTACAATAATATTCATTGAATATCAATATAAGAAAGTTGAATCAAAATTGTTTATTAAATTTTATTTTTAATTATGTATTGCAAAATCTGATTTTTTAAATTCATAAACAATATTTTGATGCTTTTTTTTTAAATTTTAAGGAAAATCAATATCAAAATTACTACAACCAGATTTTTAATGATCTGTATTAATATTCTAAATTATATAATCACATTGTTAATATTCTCTTTTAAAGAAATAACTAGCAAATTTCCTAATCTTATAATTTAACATTAAAATTTAATTTAATAAATAATACAAATAATAATTGATAAATAATATAAATTAAAGATAATTACCTTTCATGTTGTAGAAGTATCACTAAAAATTAAAATTAAAGCTACACAGTAAATTTGTTTAATTGGATAATTAAGTGATTGTATAACTTGACTAGTCCATAATTGAATAAGTTTATCAACTAAAGATTCGATATATTTGTATATTTCATTCACATTTAGTTTATAAGGATCAGGTATTATCCTTATAACAAATGTATTTTCTTCACGAAATCATATATAGTATTATCAATATTAGAAATAGACGTCATTACAAATACAGAAAATATCACGTAAAAACTATTAGATAATAATACGCAGTAATGATCTACAATTACTGCAACAGGCAAATTAAAAAAAATAATAAGGATCTACAAGATTTATCTGATTACCAAAATTTATCTGATTTTTCTAATACCACAATTTTAATTATACTTATAATAATAGCTAATTATTTATTCTAAAATGTCTTCATTATGTTTATTTATTTTCTTATTTCATATTATTTATCTTATATTTTATATCTTTATTTTATTATCTTTTAGCATTATTTTATAGTCAAAGTTTACTAAAATAGTTAATTTATAGCCTAGTAAGTAGTTAGCCATAACAAATTCATTTTTGTATAAATAGAATAGCTTTTTGCTTAAGTTGTAAATTAACTGTTCTATGAGTTTCAAGCTATTATAAAAGAATCAATTTAAATTCATACAAATTTACTTTTTCCTTTAATGTTATTCTTTATCTAGGATTTATTATAATACACTACACTAACTTGCTATTGAGTTTGTCATTATGAGTTTGACTAATATATCTTATATTTTAAGATATGATAAATTGTAGAGTTGATTCGAATATAGCGAATACTTGTAAAATTTAGAAAAAATCCTAAGGTCAGAAATTTTAACATTATGATGGGTAAAATTTTAGATAGATTTAATTGGTAAAATATGAAGTCAATTTTATTGCTATGTAGATCTTTTATAAGATCATTTTATCTATTTTATTGTCATCGATCAATTATACAAATCTTTAGATGTCAATTTTATTATCTTTAATAATCACATAGATCATAGATATCTATTTAGTTACCTGTAGATTTGGCAATTTTATTGACACAGCAACTTTATTGCCTAACGAAATGGTAACTTTATTTTCTTTGATATATTTTAGTTTATTTTATTATTTATTCAATATATATAAATATCTCTGTATTTTCTTTGAGTCTCAGCACTAATGAGATGTTAATCTTTTAGATACTGAACTTATATATTATATTAATAAAGAAGTATAATTAACCAAGTATAAAACTTATCCTTCGCAAACTCTTTGAACCTGTTATAAATTATCTGTGACCTTTGCATTCGTGCAATCCCTTTGATTATTTTAAGTAAACTTATCATATGATATTGTATTGATTCACTGTATTGACTTAGAGTCTCTGAAGCGTAATCTCTGAAATATCTTTGAGTTATCTTTGTATTTATTTTGTATTTACCTCACGTGATTTATATTGAGAATAATTCTTCGACGTTATTGTGAATCCTCACCCGTGATTCCTTGAGTAATTGTCTTAGTTTTATTTACCTTTTGAGATTTTATTTGAAGCCACGAAATTATCATGACAGCACTTATTACTAAGAAGATATTGATAATGATAAAAATAATGAATTTTTAGATCATCTTTTTGGTAAACAAAAAAAGAGTAAGAAAAATGAAGTAGAGTTATATTTTAAAACTCCTTGAGCAGAATGAAAGTAAGATATTCTTCTTTAGTAAAAGGTATATTTTCAATAATAAGTTGTATAATTTTTAAATTATCAGCTAACAAATATAATATTCTTAGATACACGAAATGGCATTTTCAAATTTAGCTAAAATGGCTAAAGATTATCTTATTATTACAGGTAAATATATTTATTGCATATAATTATTAATAATAATACTATTAAGTATTAATTAATAAACTGATTTTATTCAAGCTACAAATGTTTCAGTAAAATGAATATTTTTTAGTGAAGCTAATTTAGTAGTAATAAAAAGAAGCAACCTTAAAATACATATTATTTATGCTTGTATATATTTGAAATCTTGGTAGATATGAAAGTAATTTAGATTGATCAATTTTAATTAAATAAATAAAAAAATATTATTGAAGTATAATTAATTAATTTTACTATTGTTTTATTGAACATAATAAAATTCATATAAATTCAGTTTAACCTAAATTATTTGAGTTAAATTATAGGCAGATCAAGTCAAATTTGGGTTAAATAATTAATCAACCTGAAAATTTGAATAGAGTTATATAAATATTTGAGTTAAATTTGAATATCTCCTTAAACTTGATCTAATTCAACCTATATGAAGTACTAGTTTAAGCTGAAATTTAGATCTTAAGATATTTTCTAAAAAAAGAAAAAAGAAATATTAATAATATTTCAAAATAAAAAAGAAAATAATAAAATTTACTTTTTAATTTATCTTTATAATTCAAACTGAAATTCAAGTTCAGGAAGATGTCTCTAAAAAAATAAGCAAAGAAACATTTTATAACATTCTAAAGTTAAAGAAAAAACAATAAAAATTTATCTTCTAATTTACTTTACAACTTAAGCTGAAATCTAAGTTTAGAAAGATGTTTTTTAAAAAAATAAGCAAAGAAACATTAATAATATTTCAAAGTTAAAGAAAAAACAAAAATAATTCTCTACACTAACTTATTTTCATAGCTCAAGCTGATATTTAGGTTCAGAAAGGTATCTCTTAAAAAAAGAAGCAAAAGGAATGTTAATAATATTTTCAATAATAAAGAATAATATAAATCCTTCTTTTTAACTATATTTATAACCTAAGCTGAAATCATGATTCAGATTAGTATTCTTCTAAAGAAAAGAAAAAAAAGGAATATTAGTAAAATTTCAAATAAATTGAATTTACCTTTCATTTTAACTTATCTTTCATAAATTTAAAATCAGATCAGTAACTCTTAAAGAAAATGAAGAAAAAAAATATTAGTAATATTCTCAAAACAGTAATAAAGAAAATGATAACTTTTAAAATCCAAGCTATCCAAGTGAATTCTGAAGTTCAAATCCAAGTTTATGTTTGTTTTTAAATAAAAAAAGATAAGTTTTTTTTAAAAAGTAATATAATAAAAAAAAGTATAAAATAGATTATCTGATCAATCCAGTCATCTATATAATGTCTGATCAATCTAATATTATCTGATGGATCTATCTGGATTATTCATTCATAATTTGAATGATTTATTGTTGATCTGATCAGATGATGAATTGAACAGATTTTACTGAAGTATATCTCTACATCAATAAATGCATCATATTTTATATTTCCTAATATTTGTAATAAAGGATGTTTTTTTATTTTAAGTCAATCTGGTTAGCAAAAAATTTAATCACATAAACTTGTTACTAGATATGATAATGATGATCAGTTTAGTTTAATGTTACATTATTTATTTGTCTTAGATATGAAATTCCAGAGACATTTGATATATTAAAGTTTAAAATACCTTTAGAAGCAGATGAAGTTGTTAAATGGTTTGAAGAAAATTATGTATATGGAATGATATATCAATTTCTTAGAAATCTTTATTTTCATCACAATTTTAGTCAGTATATATGATTTAATTGAAACAGGAGTTCTAATAATACAAAATATTGTAGAGGCTTGGCATATACGTTGGGAAATTTTAGTTGGCCAAAGTCATGTAGGTGTTTATTCAATAATTAAAGAGCTACAGAAAGAACAACAGAATGTTGACTTTCAAGTTTAATGTATTGTTCATGGTAACTTCCATCAATGACAGAGAAAATCGTTCAGTAATGGACTTTCTCCATGGGATCGCGCATAACCTTTATTGTAGTTAATTTTTCTTGGTATTATTGCTGGTTATTTTATTTAGCTTTTATATTTTTACATTTTATTATTCTGAAACAAAATTAAATACAACTTTATTAATTTTCCAAAATTAAATAAAACTTTATTATTTCGTTAACTTTGTACAAATAAATAATAATATTTAATATTTCGTTAAATTGAATTGTATAATCATCACTTTCTAGGATATTAAGTTTCGGGATTTTGTACTGTACCTGTCGGAATTTTGGCATTCAGGATTTTGGTATTCGGGATTATGACCCTCGGGATTTCGTACCAGACCCGTTTCTCCAACATCAGTTCTGCCTTAAGCTCCCGTCTTCAACTTCATTTTCTCAGCCGTGATGCGCTGTTTCAATACTTTCAAGCTCAAATGGGTTAGCTTCATTATCTGACATGATTGGTAAATTTTTATATACGAAGGGAATTATTCAATGTTATGTGGCGAATGTAAAGACTCGCTTTATTAATACAGAATTAAAAATAAACACAATGATCGGGACTATGCTCGTGGTACATGCCGTAATTTCGTTTTACAAATTGAAATGTTTCTATAATAATGCCTAAGAGCTACACACCAGTTTTTCATTTGTCTTTACAACCTATATTAATAAATTATTCCAACATTAACTCCATGATCCGGTTTCATTTATCCTAAGACCGATATTTTGGATAGAATAAAACGGTCGTCAGTTGTACCATATGAGATATGCAATATCAGAAAATAAATCAACAGTTAATAATATTAACAAATTCCTACTAGTATTTTATGTTGTTTGTCTTAAATCCTGAACGAAAGTTGACTATTAGCTAATAAGCTCAATAGATATTTATATTTCATTGCAATGTATAGCCACAATCAAAAAAATGTTCATACCTCGTCCAGAACATTCGTTTCCAACAGCAATTCTTTATATTGCGATATGCGCTTTAGAAAATGTTAGTGCGAATAAGGTAGCTTATGTGTGAAATTTTGCAATGAAAAATCTGGATCGAAAAATATTAGTGGTACAAACACAAATCCTGACAAACATATCTCATTTATTTGTCTTTGCATCCAATGAACTGAATTTTTTTTTTTTTTATAAAGAAACTTACATTTATTAAATAGTGAAATTCTTATAATAATAATGAATTGAAATTTTTCTTAAAAAAAACCTATTTAACATTATCACACGAACTTTACTGCGTCACATGATTTTGAAACATATAGCGATCTAATAAATTAGATAATGCACATTCCTCTTTATAAAACAGCTCCTTATTATCAGTCACAATTGACATTCCAAAGTCAATTATATAAATTTCACCTTTTTCGTTAACTAAGATATTCTCTTTTCGAATATCATTGTGAAGAATTCCATGACTATTAATTATCCTTAATACTTCGAAAGCCCTATCCCTTTGATTACAATCTATCCTATGGTGATTCAAAGTATTACCAACAATAGTTACGCACATAAAATAGCCCATCCCATATCCGTAATAGCCATAACTTAATACACCTCCCTTGAATTTTAAAAAGAGTTTTGTAGAGTTCAATTTCTTTTCGAATTTTACGCAAAAGATCAGCTTCCTTATATAGATCAATAGCCTTCAAAGCAACTGGCTCTCCACGGAATACTGCTTTAAATGTCCTTCCAGTTTGTCCGCATCCTAAAATACCCTCAAGCTTAAAGTCTTTATAGCCATAAGTCTGTTCTTGCATTTCTGTTGTAGAATCTCGACCCTCAGAACTTTGATCCCTGGAATCTTGCTGATTGCGATAATTGGTACCTAAACCCGAACTTTGACTTTGATCATTGAAACTTTGATTATTGGAACCTGAGTTTTGATTACTGGAACCTTGTCTGGTTCGTCCTAAAATTAAATTAGGATGAGGGGATTCAGGATTAATATTTGCCAGGTGAACTAAGAATGCATAAGTTTTGAGCACTGGCGGATTTGTTGATTTAAACGGAAGAGATTCTGAAATTAATAGTACTGATGGATTATCGATTGGGCGGCGGAAAAAAAAGTGGTGGTCATAGCTTGCGAGTATACCATATTGCAATTCATCCGTAACCATATAGTTGTAAAGCTGACTAATTACGTTAATTAAATCGCCACTTGCATAACCAGTAAAATGGTTATCTTCATATCTGAATATATATCTAAATTAATCTCAAATAACTGTTTTATAACACAGTTTCTTTCGACTTCGATTTCAATGATCTTTTTTCCCGCATAATCATTAGGATCATTATATTTTCGACAAGTGAAATCTGGTTTTCCGAAGCCAATGTTTTGGATTATCGTTATTAAAAACAGAATCATTTTGTTTCGAAAACTCAAATTCTGGTAACAAGAACTGGTTCAATATACGAAAAATATTAACATCCATAGCTGTTTCAACGCTATTTTTGACACGAGCTCTTAAACCTTCAACGAATTGTGACCTCTCGAATTTTGGCGTTTGATTGAAGCTGAACCTAGTTACTTCTTCAAGGAATCCATTCCAACGAATTATTCTTGATGGCCAGATACCACCAGTATTTGTTGAATAACTCGAATTACTAGCATCCTGAGGATAACCGATGGCTGGCGGAATACACGATAAATATTTTTCTGAATTCAGAAGTCCTAAAATAAACAAGAAATGAGATGAGGTAAATGTATACTACGGAAAATAACTGACTAGAAAGGCATCTGTTGAATAACACGCGAGGGTACAAACGTTGAACTATTATATGATAAACCTACTTTGATTATTTAACTTAATGACAAACTTTGATATTATTTTTGCTGGTCCTAGTTTAAGTCCATATCGTTCCAAATCAACTTTTTTCAATTTTAGAAAATCATAACCGGAGACTTCATTTTCGCGGAGGACATCAATATGATCTTCTCTAAGATTTAAAATTCGTTGATTTTGTTGATTTTGTAAGTAAGTGATAAGAGTTTCCGTATCATATCCTTCAATATCTTCGACGCGAGGGGTAACAGGAGTACTTGTAGACATTTTAAGAAAATATATAGTGTGACGTGTACAATTCAGAAAAAAGAAAATATTTGCAAAAAAGGTGTGTGTGGATATGGAGGAACAGTATTATCGCACAAAACAGGATAATAGATCATCACATCCTTTCGTGACTACAACAACTTCTAACTTCTTTTTAATTTGATCGGTTACTATTTTAGTAAAAATTAAAACTCTATTTTAAAGCTTAAATGACACGTGATCTGCATAGTTAAATAACTATATATATGAAGCAAGCAGCAGATCATCTTTGTTAAATCATGACAGATACAGTCTCTACAAAATTTGAACCAAAATATTATTTTGCTAATGAAGAGGAAAATCGATCAAGGTTATGGAACAATAAATCATGGTGTACCATAGCAGAAGCAAATGTTTCTTTTAATTTAGAAGCATTTTGGAAAGTTGTGGTTAGTAAAATTGAAATGTAATTTTTTTTTTTTTTAAATTAAAAATAAGAAATTAAAAAATTTTTTTATTGTAGGAACGTTGGACAAATGAAGTGCATTTAGTAATTCCGCCTATTGAACGCGTTGAAATTATAAATGATATTGAAAATAAAACATATGATTCAACACATGACGAATGTCTTGCAAGGATAGATCCAATACGAAGTATTAACAGAAAATTAATTCCTAAAAGAAAGAATAAGGATGATGAATTAGAAGAATTGGTTGAATATTATATAGATGAAAATTTAAATGGTATCTATAAATTATATTATATTTGAAGAGGGTTAGATACATATATGTTAACAAAAATTCTTAATATTTTAATTTAGAAAGTCGAGTTGTATATACACCGATATTAGCAAATTCTAAGGAACTTTTACATGAGAATATTCCTTTTTATTATCCAAAGGTACGAAGCGTTGTAATATCTCCTAGTTTATATAATTAATTACTTATAATTACCGATTTTAGGTAACCAGCTTCAGCTACGTTTATAAGGAATGCGGCCAAAGAACTTCTTCAAATGATGATTCGGAAATTGATTATCAATCACAAATATTTATTGAAATTATTCCCTTACTACAATCCTTTGAAATAACTGATAAAATGGTAAGTAGTTTAAAGATTTATTTATTTAATTGCATAATAATTAAAATTATTATTTTTAAATTTTTTTAATTTAAATTTAAGAAATATGCATACAAGCAATTATTTAAAAAATTATACAAATGGTGTCAAAATACATCAATGGGTTATGAAAAACGTATTCATCATGATTTATTAGTACCAAAAGAATTATATAAAAATACTTATCAAAGATTAAAAAATAAATATGCAACTGATTTAGTCAGGTAATTCCGTTTTTTAAAGTTTTTCCTTCTTTGATATACTTTCCTTTATTGACTACCATAATTGTTTTTTAAAAGAAACTGGACTGAAAAGACAGATCCTATTAAATTCGTATTCGAAGACATTGCTATAGCAAGTTGGCTAATTTCTATATGGGAATTAGAAAGAGTTGAACAAAAATCATCAATATTACAATCTTTTATTGATTTGGGTTGTGGTAATGGATTGTTAACCTTTATTTTATCATCTGAAGGATATATTGGATTTGGAATTGATTCAAGAAAAAGAAAGATATGGGATGTATTCATTGAGAAAGGTGCTAAATTAATAGGTAACGTTTGCAATAAAAATATATACAAATATATATATATCATATGATATCTTGAGACTTTTTTTTTAATTTTAGAAGGAACGATTCAGCCAAATTTAATAACTTATCCAAGTATAGATTGGATAATAGGGAATCACGCAGATGAACTTGTTCCATGGTAATAAATCATCCAAATGATGATGATTATTAATTACGCGATTTACTTTAGCTAACAATTTCAATTTTTTATTATTAATGACTATAGGATACCTATAATATCATCAAAATCATCATCATCTACAAAGTAAATTAATTTTAAAAAATTTTCTTAATTAGTATAATTGAATATTAAATATCGGTTTTATTTAGATTCATGGTAATTCCGTGTTGTTTTTATTCATTATCTGGCTCGAAATATACATTTCCAAACAAAACAATAACTTCAGGAAGATATAAAGCATATCAAGAATATATTGAAGATATAATAAAGAAATGCGGATTTATTACAGAAATTGATTGGTTAAGGATCCCTAGTACAAAAAACGTTGTATTGGTTGGAAGGAAAAGAGTTGATAATTCTAAAAGTAAGTTGAAATTTTTAAGGTAAAATATTTCTTTGAAAATATGAAAATCATATTAATTAATTTATTTATAATGATTGCTTATTAGATAATGTAATAAAAGATCAAATCGATCAATTAATATTAAATGCTATTACCATCAGAAGTTCTTAGATACTTGTTTTATGTTAGTTATCCAAACGATTAATAACATTAAAAATATCGATAATTGTCGAAGGGACGCATAATTACACAATCATATAATATACAGCAAAAAAAAAAAAATAACATATAAACGTAATTCTTTCAATCTTCAGAAAATCACAAATGAAATTTTTTTGCAAAAAGGTTAACTTTGATGTAGAGAATCTTTGATCGCATCACGATGAATGACATCTAACTCTACTACAAGCTAAATGAGCATAATGCAATGAACAACAATAGAAATTGTGCTTGTATTTCGCATACAAATAACACAAGTTGTATGATAAGGTTTGAAGTGGAGCGGGTGTTATGACGATGTTGATACGGGACCTTTACAATAGAAAGGGGGAAAAAAGCGATTTACTTTTTTATGCCAAATATGATTTTTAGGTCAGAATTAGCATTAACTCATTTTTTTATATTTTTCCAGTCTTTTCTATTGCAAAGGTACATATAGTTGGTTAAATTTAAGTGGATTGCGAATTTTAAAAGCTGAGAAAACTATTGAGAAACTGCACAAAGCAAATATTGTCTTTGCTGACCTTTGTGATTACAATAACTTGGCTTGGTTGGCCAATGTCATGGAACGTTAGTAGATTTTGACTGGGCCGGCCAGGAGCTGTCCATCTTTCATGAATCGACAAATTTGGGGTTGATAAGCAGAAATTGAGTTGGAAACACGATGAGTACTGGTTTGAGTCATTGATATTTGAGCGATTAATATAGTATATTATACAATTTGATATCACAAATCATTGAAAGAATAGCAAACACAAATTTCTCATGTATTTCAAAGCTACTCATGTGTCAAATGTAATTTGTTAATAAATAGGTCATTTGTGTGAATTATTGATAATTGTGTTATCTGCAGAAATTGAATATAAAAGATTTTTATAGAAATGAAACGATTTCAATAGGCACGGATGTTGATCAATCATAAAAAATTATTTCAAAAGAAACAGATTTTGTTAAGAAATTAAAAACTATAACTGCCTCAGCCGACGTTCTGTAATAGGCCTGAGAGAAAATTCCAAATTCTCTAAAATTATCCTGATTACTTCCTATCAAAAAAAAATAGCAAAAACGAAGTTATTTATACAAAATTTTATCTAGGAGTTACGATCAATTGACCTATTCGCAAGATCTGATATTTCGATCAGTAAGCAGAAATTAACAGAATACGACGCCGCCGCAACTCTTAAATTTGGTGCAGTTAGTAACAGATCGGTATGGAGTGCTAATCAAAATGAAATTTCTAGCCTTTTCTTTACGGGTCCGTAATTCGAAATAATTATGCCGGAATCAATTTTAAATGATCGCAAAATATTTGTAGCAACTTAAAAAATAAGTTGGATTAAATTATTAATTTTTTTTTATCAAGTAAATGAAAAAAAAATTCAAACGAAACCAACTAATCAAAATTATCGTTAAATCAGTATGTGCATTTAGAGCGATTTAACTTGATAAAATATTTACTTCATTAAAAGCAAAGTCCAGCACTGGTCATTAATAAATGTGATAATAAGGATGCAAATAATTGATGAAATTATTACGGTTGCATTTATTAACAGAAAAAAATTTTCATCACAAAAGATGAAGAACGAGTTTCATTTAAAATGTAAAACTTTATTAAGCATGGTCATAACTTTTAATCTTTGTTGTCGTGATAATAACAAAGATATTTTTATTACCATTTTTATATAAACAGAATGGACTCAAGGATCGGACTTATTAATTAGAATAAATTTTAAACAGAACGATTTAAAAGACCGGTCCCAGTGGATTAAGTGCTGACTTAATATCAGAGAGTCCGGAATTTTTAGAATGATTCGTTCAATAGTTTAACGATTATATTTGCGCAATAGTATTTGCAATGGATCGTTCCACAAAGTAAGTAAATGAATGTTATTTTATTTTTTACTAATGAATTATTAATCTCAAGATAAGGTACAAAGGTAAGTTTCTTTTTTTAAAAAATTAAAAAAAAAAGTTATTCATTTATAATTGGTTTGATTCAAAAAAAAAAAAAAATAAATCTTTCTTTCTTTAGAATGTCCACCTGATATATTATTTGTAATCTTTGATATTCAGCAAAAGCTTCAGTAATTCACCTTATCAAAATAATATCTCTTTATATAATTCTTCAAATTTTAAATGATTGAATCGTTCATTTAATATTATATTATTCCAAAGATTTGCATAAGGATGTATTTGTGATTTAACTAATAGAATTAGCATTTCACACATCCTTTCCATTGGAAATTGCCAATATTTTCTCTCATCTGTCATGTTTATTAAGATATACTTGCAGATGCTTTCGAAGTTGATATTGATAAGAACAATTCTATTATGCTACTCATTTAGCAGAGATAATGCATTGATAGTTTACACTATAGTCAAAGTTAATGCGACAAGATTTTCTGAATAATATTTTGGCAAGCTTAAGGACATTATCAGGGAGCAGATTACATCAACTTCGCTTAAGTTAATGCTAAAGACATTAAGCTATAGAAGGTACTGATTTCCAGATCTTTAATGGCTAATCACTATTATACTAACATATTCTTTTCCAACAGAAATGTAAGTATATTTTTAATTTCTCTGAAT